GTAGACCAGGCTGGCCTTGAACTCACAGAGATCCACCTGCCTCTGCCTCCTGAGTGCTGAGATTAAAGGCATGTGCCACCATGCTCAGCCCCAGCATATGGCTTTTAAAATTTTTTTTTTAATTTTATTTTATGTGTATGCATGTATGCCTGCATGTAGGTAAGTACACCCGTGTCGTGCAATGCCCATGGAGGTCAGAAGAGGCTGTCGGATCCCCTGGGACTGGAGTTACAGACAGCTATTAGCTGCCATGATTCGAACCCGGGTCTTCTGCAAGAACAGTGTTCTTAACTGCTGAGCCATCTCTCCAGTCCCAGTAGCTTTCTCTTAATAGACCTCAATAAAGTTCTGTAACCTCAACCTTTCCATACAGTAAGGCATTAAAACTATATTTGTATCATGTACATGTCTGGTGCCCATAGAGGTTAGAAGAAGGCATCAGACCCCTTGGAACTTGAGTAACAGACAACTGTGAGCCAACATATAGGTGTTGGGAACTGAATCCAGGTCCTCTCAAATGCTCTTAACCACTAAGCCATCTCTCTAGCCTGTAATTAGGTTTTAAGGCGTGGCAAAGTTGAAGTTTACCTTCCTAATGTTACCAGGAAAATACAAGATAAGGTCCAAAGTTACCAATGAAGGAAGGATCCATCTTCACTGGCCTCCCAGCCTGCTAATCTGTACAATATTATCAAACACCCAGAGTTCTTGAAGATTGAGCTATATTTTTCTCACATCAACTGACACATTTATACTGTATACTAAACAACCATCAAATCTCTAACATCATATGTGTGTCCCACAAGGTTGTTCTGATAACCATCCAACTGCCACTGTCCTTATAACTGTAACTTCAGGGTTCAATACTATAACACTCTTACTAGGGAGATGCTAAAGGATGGATCAACTGTATGATCAGTAGTCTACTTTCTGTAGTTATATATGGTTGGTATCCTATGTACTTCATTAGGACTGATTTAGTGTTTGCCAAAAAGGGATTTATGGTAAACCGTCAATGACACACCTACAGCTAAGGAGATTCCAAAACTTTTAGGATCACCCTGCCAGAATCTGAGAAAAAGGCTTCCTCTGCAATGTTCTTTACCTACAGAGGCATCTCTTGACCCCACCCTTCCACTTTTTTGGAGTAATTTTTATTTTTTTTATTTTCTGTGTACTGCCTGCATGTAAGTGCACCCGTATCATATAACGCCCACGTAGGTCAGAAGAGGGCATCCGATCCACTGGAACTGGAGTTACAGACAGTCGTTAGCTGCCATGTGGGTGCTGGGAACAGAACCCAGGTCCTCGGCAAAAGCAGCCAATGCTCTTACTCACTGAGCCATCTCTCCACCCCCCTGCTTTTTTTTTTTTTTTTTTTTAATCGCCTGGACCACAGTATAAAGTTGAGGAAGACCTCAAACTTCTGATCTTCCTACCTCTCTACTTCTGAAGTGTTAGTATTATGGGCATGAGGCACCAAGCTGTCTCTTATGCAGTCCTGGGAATGGAACTCATGCTTTCATCTATGCTAGGCAAGCAGTGAACCGGCTGAGCCACATCCTAAGCCCCAGAATACCATTCTTTAAAATCCTTAGGGAGGAAGGCTGATAACCTGATTTTGATCCCTAGAGCCCATGTAAAGATGAAAAAGAGAAACCCAACTGTACAAAGTATACTCACACACATACACACCATGGCACCAGCATCAATACACACACACATCATAATATACACATGATAGTTATAAAATTGCTTTTAAAAATGTACTGCACAGCCAGGCATGGTGGCTAATGCCTTTTACCCAGTACCCACAAGACAAGGGCAGGTGGATCTCTGTGAGATCAAGGCCAGCCTGTTCTACATGGTGAGTTCCAGGCCAACTGGGGCTACAGGGAGACCCTGTCTCAAAAACAAAACAAAAGAAATAAATAAAAATCCCTAAAAATTTACTGCAAACCCCAAACCACTTTTAAGTACAAAACATTTTCTTCATCATAGAAAACAAACGTGTTCTTCTCTCAATTGACCATCCCAAATTTCCTCAAGGATCAGGAATTACACTGACCACAAATAACAAAGGAAAACAAAAAGAAACAGCTGAAGTTATTTTCCCCAAGAACTGAAACCCAGATAACTACTGATGAAGAACCAGTACTCCCAGTTCCTCCTGTTTGGAGAAGCAGACCAGAGCAAAACAAACAACAAAAATAAAATTACAATTACACATACCTCCCTCCCCAGTTTTGTGTGTTTTCCCCCCCACAACAGCAGGGCTAGAAATATTTTTCAAAAATCCCACTTTTTGTCTTAGAAATAACTAAAGGGAAACCATTTTGAAGCAATTTTAAATTTCCTTCCTCCAGGCCTGGGAATTTTTACTCACCTTCAGCCAGCGGGTGCAAAAAAAAAATCTAGATTATGAGAGGCGCGGGGGGCGGCAGGAGAAAGGGAGATAGAGAGAGATTGATTGGCTGATGACTGACCAGAGAAAGACGCCACACACGGGATGAGGATTAGGGCTAGATTCAACGAAAAAGCCTTTGCCTGGCATGCGCGATGCCTGGGGTTCAAGTGCCAGTACGAAAAAGGAGAGAAGCACAGGGTGACCACCGGCGGAACAAAAGTAGGGCAAACTGGCGCGCAACGGCCGCCCACAGGGCACACAGCCCATGTCCCTCCCGGCACGCTGGACTCCGCACCACCCACCCGCCAGCGCTGCGGGGTCGGCGGAGGCTCGCAGGGTGGATTCACCCGAGAGGACCGGGGACCGGGACGAAGCGGGACAGGGCAGGACACGACCGGCAGGGCACGACAGGACGCCGGGCTCATGGGCCGAAGTGTCAGAAACGCACGACTGCAGGAACGCAGCGCACACTCACCATTCCTGCTTTCGACACGTTCCGGTTCTTCCCTGGGGCTTCTGCAGACAGCCGAAGAGACCGGCGCCGGAAGAAAGCCACCAGCAGCCTCTCCGAAGTTCCACGGGACTCCAAAATGGCGGCAAGGGCGGGCCCTCCGACTCTTCCCGCTTCGCACTGGACAGCTCGTGCAGGAGCAACAGCGTCGGTGCTTGGCGAAGGAAACGGATTCGCCTTCTGCAAACGAATGGCAGGAGAAACGTCCTTTCCCCGCTCGATTGCAACGAAAATGAGAGCTGTCCGGAACAACCCGTTCTACCTACGTTTTTTCCTTGCAATAAACCTGGCCAAACCCTAAATTTCATTGCACTTAAGGAGGACATTCTCCAGGCTTTTTAGTGCGCACATTGGCTACCTTGTTCGCGTACTCAGTACACAAAGGCGCCTCCTACTTTCCCCACATACATTGTCACACTTCGCTTTGGAGAGTCTAGACTCAGTGTTCTGAAGAGAAAACCTATGACGTCACGTTAGGTGGGGTCCCTAGGTTCGTCTAGGCACAGGAACAGAAAAGGAGGAAAAGAAATGCAAACTCAGGAATTTAGAATGAGGTAAATGCTAAGGCTTGTTCATATCCTGTGTTTCAATATATCCATTTTCTGCCTACATAATTAAAACACAGGGGAGTACAATTATTCAACGCACAGAGAAAATGGTTTTACATGGTAACAATATTCTATGAAGTATTCAAGACATTTAGAAAGGAATACTTGAACTTCCTTAGGCAGATGAAAGTGTACATTCACAAGCCTAAAATATTCTCAAGTCTCAGGATCACACTGCTGACTAGGAGCCCACAGTGGTCATTCCCTAGTGATGAGGCAGAGACACCTAACAACTGAACTCTGGGAGCTCACCAAGACTTCCACTGCTTCTTCTACCATGAAATCTCTCCTTCACACCTTAATATTCACAAGAGGAAAACTGTCATCCATACTCATATTAAAGTTTTAACCCAAACCAACTATAAAATTCACAAATACTTTATCCATAGTTCTACTAAAATGTGTCTCTAAACTTGGTCATCATTGATGTTCTACATATGGGAGGGAGGAGCTAGGGAGGGAAGAAAACAAGGGAAAGAATACAGGAGGTAATGAGTAGACAAGGGAAGCACCGAGGAGGTGCACAGATGATAGGAGGAAAGGAAGAAACCTAGACACTGGGGCTGGAAAGATGGCTTAGCGGTTAAGAGCTACTCTTGCAGCACCTGCATAGTGACTAACAACTGTCCATAACCCCAGTTCCAGGGGGATGGAGGATCCAACATCCTCTTCTGGCCTCTGTGGGCATTGCATGCATACCTGCACTTACATGCAGGCAAAACACTCAAACACATAAACTAAAAATACATAAATCAACCATTTAAAAAAATTATCTAGACATTGAAATGCTGCCATCCACTGAATCTGCTGTGACAAAATCAGGCACAACAAGAATTCCGAGTCTTGTGAAGGAAGGTGTTCCCCTTCAGCTCCTTCTTCCTGAGGCTAAACATACCAACCAGAGAGAGTCTTTCCAGATACTGGGAATTATTAGGTCTGAGGTAGACCACAGAGGAAGACATATAGTCCATGGCCACAGCATGACCACAGTATGGAGGCCACATACATGGTAAAAATCTTACATTAACCTGCCAGGCATGGTGGCACTTGCCTTTAGTTCCAGCACTCAGAGGGCAGAGGCAGGCAGATCTCTGTGAGTTCAAGGTCAGCCTGGTCTACATAGCGAGTACCAGGCCAGCTGAGGCTACAGGGAGACCCTGTCTCAAAAAGACCAGAAAAAAAATCTTATACTGACCTTAGCTGAATATAAATTCACATAAAGCTCAGATATATACACAAAATAAACTATATTGTTTGAGACACATACACACTTTATATACACATAAAGATATAAAGCAGGGGCTGGAGAGATGGCTCAGTGGTTAAGAGCACTGGCTGTTCTTGCAGAAGACCCAAGTTCTAATCTTAGCACCCACATTGCAGGCTAACAACCATCTATAACTCTGGTTCCAGGGGATCTGATGCCCTCTTCTGTGTACGACACAAGTTCACGACACAACGCACTTACGTGCATGCAGGCATAACACTCATGCACACCTGAGTGTATATACTCACTTGCATTGCTATAATATATAGCAATGGAAGTGAGTTATTGTTACAAACATCAGCCCAGGGGATACAGTATATGGGGAGAAAATTCTGGGCAAAAAGAGAATGATGGTCTCCTTGAATGTCAGTGATGTTATGCTTCTTGACACAGGGAATGACCCCTTAGAGGTCCACTTGAAAGTATTCAGTAAAAATGTACATTTGAAAATGGGTACAGTTACATGGACTTGTACTCCACTCCCATCTACTTGAAAAACTGAGTCAAGAAATTTGGTTGATTCCCAACATTGAGAGCAACTTGAACAACATGTTATGGCTGAAGAGATGGCTCAGTGGTTAAGAGCATTGATTGCTCTTGTAGAGGACCCAGGTTTGATTCCCAGCACCCACATGGCTAACTACCGGCAGTAACTCCAGTTCCTGGGGATTCAATGCCTACTGATCTCCGTGGGCATTGCACAACATGGGCAGGCAATACAAAATTTATTGGTATTTTAGTAAAGACAGTCATCTCAGTCATTTCTCTCTCCTCACCTTGACCTTAGGTTAATATTTCATTTGGGTCAAGTAAAGACTATATAGGAGAGATGTGTTATTTTAACAGTAAAATGCACAGTTTGCCTACATAAAAGTTAAATTTATGTATCTTGATATAATTAAATCATGTAAGAACTAACAGTGCTATGTACATTTCCATTGTTTTACTTGGGGCTCGGTAATTAAACTTAAATGTAAGTGAACAAAGTGTTAAGAACATCTGCAGGCTGCTTCTCAGAAGTTACGATATTAAAAAAGCCCAGCGAGTAATTACCACCAATAAAATTCTTTGAAGCTGCCTCCAAATTTAACATTGTAATTTTCAAGGATCTCATATCATTTCTTTTGTCTGTGATTATATTTTTAAAGATGTGTTTAACTGTCACATAAAAAAGTCCACATACAATATAAAACTACAAACACCCTACAATACACAAATCGAATAGTGTGGTGAGATTTCATAATGAAAATGTTTGAAGATGCATTTTCTTTCCTTCTATTTCAATAATTAAAATGTGCTTTTGAAACCACTGGTCAGTACATACATACTTAAAATAAGCTGTGGAATTGTACAAATAAAATTTTGCAATGAATTCAATTCAAAATTTGATCTACGAAGTTAGGAAATTAAATGCTTTTACAAAGTCACAGAAAGTACATCACATTTTTTTCTTCATACAGTGTTATGCCTTATTTTTTTTTTTGTAAACCTTTGAAAAAAATAAAAACCAGCCAAATACTTAAAGCAGTATGTACATTTAGATTTTTGGTGGTGGTTTGTACTTTAAAAGAAACAGCTTCCTTATGATTTGCCTCAAGTTGTGGTGGAAATGCTTACAGGAACTAGGAACAAAAACCAACAGAAGCACATACAAAATACTGATTTACTTTGGTGGCAAATGGTGTTCTTTGAAGACTAAAGGGCAGACAAGCTCCATTAAAGTGAAGTGGGCTATTTCAATATTTCACATAAAAATTTTTGAAAAAATTTTTTAAAGAGCTAAGCGTCTGTATCCACTGACAACAATGCCATACCTAGTGTATAATTATCCAAAAGAAAAACAAAATGGCCACAGGAAAAAAGGTTCAATTTTACCTAAACTTACTTTCAGTCAATCGTCCAGTAAGGATTTCCTCTCAATACATACTCCCCTCTCTCCATAAGGCTGGTCCTGGGAGCCAGACAGTTTAGGTAATGATGAGTGAGGTTAGGAGTAGTTGCTCACAGAGAGACAGTAACTTTTGGTTTCCCTCTCAATGTGCTAAGAGTTGCGTCTAAAAAAATATGCAGTTCTTAGAAAGGTACCATTTCTGATTTCTTTATGATCTGTAACCTTTGGAGAATAATCACATGAAACTACAAAATTAGCAAATGTCTTGAAATCTGTATATAAAACATAAATTACCTCTAATTTCAAACTCTCATTTATTAGTGTACCACTCAATCTTAAAAAAAAAAAAAAAAACAAAAAAGAAATTAAGAAAAAAAAAGCGGCTCCAAAGATAGTCTTACACCAATCTTTAAAAAAGGAGACTGTTCCTTTTAACTGTACACCCACCCATGTCCCAGTCTCAAAACGCATCATTTAATTGTCTTGGTCATGGACATTTCCAAGATGAGATTTTATATTTCGTTCCCACAGCTTCTGATTATCGGAAAACCCATGCTTTCCTTTATTAAAGGAGTTTGGTCCAGCTGATGTTGGTGTATCCCTTCCAATATTCTTCATCCTCATCTTTGCTTCTGGAGGCATTTCTTCTGGTTCACTGTCTTCATCTTCATTGAAAGCTGCTGCTCGGAAAGGGTTTTTGGAGCAAGAGTTGGAACAGTTTCCTTAGGCTTACTTGATCCAAGTTTGATGGATATGGCTGACGTTTTCTTTGTCGTCTGACTACCTATGGCAAATCCACCCCCTTTTTAAAGAAATAAAACAGCTGGGCATGGTGCCATGTGCCTTTAATCCCAGCACTTGGGAGGCAGATCTCTGTGAGTTCAAGGCCAGCCTGGTCTACATAGTAAGTTCCAGGCCAGCTGTGGCTACAGGGAGACCCTGTCTCAAAAAAGAAAAAAAAGAAAAGAAAGAAAAAGAAAGAAAATAACAAAAAGTACATTTGGCAAGTACACACACCTTTCCAAATAATGCCTTCATTAATAATCTTTTCCTGTGACTACTTCTGAGTGGAATGCCCATTTCTACAATAAACCCAGCCTAAAACAGAAAACTATGTGAATCAATAAGGTAAAAGGGGAAAGGATGGTGAGACAAAGAGGAGGATTTGGAAGTATTCAAGTGAATGCTTGTGCAATGACCATAACATACAGTGCATAGGCATGTCAGGAAATAAGGCTAGGTTGGAAGTCATCTTGATCAAATTACTATGGCAAATTACCATGAACCAAGTTGCTTTCAAAGAATACACATATTTTCAAAGAAAACACATATATATCTTTCTCTCTTTTCTCTCTCTCTCTCTCTCTCTCTCTCTCTCTCTCTCTTTCTTCCTCCCCCCACCTCTCTCTTGTCTTTTTAGACAAGGTCTCCTCTCCCAGTAGCCCCAGCTGGCCTGGCACTCACTGTGTAGACCAGGCTAACCTCGATCTCACAGAGATTTACCTGCCTCTGCCTCCCAAGTGCTGGGACTAAAGGGTCTGCCCCACTACTCCGAGCTAGAATACACATATTTCTCATAGTTAGGGGCCTAAAAAGCTGTA